CACTCGTTGAATGAATGCAGACAGGAGACCCATTCCTAGATCAAAGGAGGTTCCAGCCCAATCATGCATTTATTTCTTTATCTACTCAACAAACATTCATTGAGCACCTGACTGCAAGGACACAGTATGGGAAACGACAGTGAAAAGGGTGGTCTGAAATACTACTCTCTGGCTGGAGAGATGGGTTCAGACACCTCCAGTTGCTTGAGGTTGAGCCAAAGGATGGGACCCTAGGGTGGCCCTGGCTCTTCCTGGGGAGACAGACAGAGCTTCCTAGGGGAGGGGACATTGGAGCCAGGGTGTTGAGGAAATTAGAATTGCAGTGTATGTATAAAGGGTCTTGAAGGTCAAGAGACTAGGGACAGGAACTTGTCTGCCAGTCACTGTTTTGTTTCCTTCAAAGCTCAAGGGGTGATTCCAAGCCATTCCTGCTCTGACCACCAGAGTGCGCACCCGTCCCATCACTGGGAATCCAGTAAACCTCAGGTCCAGGGACCAGCAGGTCCTTTGCCTCAGGCCTCTCATGCCCAGCTCACTTCACACCACTGACATTCATTCATTAATTCTGCATAAGTGTATGAGGTACCACCCAAGACTCCTTGGAGCCTGCAGGCTCATGTTAAAATCCCACAAGCCACACTGGCTGTGTGACCCTGGGCAAATTGCTTGACCTCTCTGGGCAGGTGGCAGAAACTGCCTCCCAGGGTTTTAGGATTAGATGAGGTTTGGAGCACAAATGGGTAGCCAGGGCACCTCCTTAGTCCTCAGTGGGCCCTGCTGCCTGCCCTGAGGTCATCTGCTCCTCACCCATCCCTTCTCCAGCTCAGCCTCATTGTCTTCCTGGTGTGGGCCAACCTGGATCTCACCTCAGGGCCTTTGCCTGGCTATGCCCTCTGCTGGGAATGACCTTCCCACAGTCCCTTCTCTTTCCTTGCTTCTCAGGAGATTGCCCCCATCCCTTCATGGGGGAGTCCTATCCACCAATGCATCCCGTTGCTCAGCACCCTGATCTCGTCCACTACAGCCATCCCCTAATCCAGGACTTAGCAGTGGTGTCTCCCAATATGTGAGGCCGACACCCAACAAACAGTACATGTTCAATAGTCTTGAATAACTGAACATTAATGAGGACCTGCTGGGTGCCAGACTCAGGCAAGGCTCTGGCCATGCAGTGGAAACAAGAACACACGGTTTTCTATGTTCTAAAACTACCAGCTCCGGTCCTGGCTGGGTGGCTCAGTTGGTTGGAGTGTTGTTCCATACACCAAAAGGTTGCAGGCCTGGCCAAGGTGGCACAGTCTGGACCTCGCGTTCACAGACACCTCCTCCCTTCAGGCCTCAGGGTCACCTCCTCAGAGACCCCAAAACCTTTCTGTTCCCAGCATCTTCGTACTGCTGCCTATCTTCACACCTTGTTCACTCCCTTGTTTGTTTCCAGCCTGGCAGGGACTGTGTCACTGTGGCAACACACTGAACCCAGAGGGTCCACCTGTATTAGCCTATTGCTGCTACAACAAATCACCACCAACTTGTTGACATAAAAAACCCCAAGTCTTTCCCTTCAAGTTCTGGAGGTCAGAAGTCCAACATGGGTTTTGCAGAGCTAAAATCAAGGTATCAGCAGAGCTGCATTCCTTCCAGGAGGCTCCAGGGGAGAATCTGTTTCCAGCTTTTTATAGCTTCTAGAGCCTGCCCACATTCCTTGGCTCTCAGCCCCTTCCTCCATCTTCACAGCCAGCAATGGCAGGTCATGTCCTTCTTATGTAGCATCTCTCTGACCACAGAGGGAAAGGTCTCCACTTTTAAGTATCCTGTGATGACACTGGGCTCATGGGGTAATCCAGGGTTGTCTCCCCATCTGAAGGTCCTTAACCCTATCTGCAAAGTGTCTCTGCTATCAAAGGTGACATCGTTACAGGGTCCAGGGATTAGGATCAGACATCTCTGGCAGAGTTGGGCTTTCTCTTACTTGTAGCACAAACATCCGTTTACTGTACTTCTGTTCCCACCCCCTTCCTCCCCATGGTTCAACCCAACTCCCAAGTCTCAATTTAAATGTCCTGTTCCTCTGAGAAGTCTTCCTTCGTCTCTCCCAGGCTGGGTCTGGTATGGCCTTGGGATGTTCGGCACAGCTCTGATCAAAATCAATCATTACTGCCAGTTTACCTGTGGGGTCTGGGGGAGAGAAGCCTGGAATGGTGAGCAGGGGCTATGGAGAGTCATGGTGGGTGCTTGAGCTGGGAGAAGCCTAGGGCAGCTGGGGTAGGAAGTAGGCTACAGCAGGTGAGGCTGAAGTTGGGTCAGGACAAAGAGGAAGGTACAAATGGAAAAGACTTAAAAGGGGAGGCAGGGGCTCCCCAGAGAGGGCCAGTGACTTGCTTGAGGTCACCCAGCACATGGCCTCTGGGTTGGGGAGACACGTCAGTCTAGGGAGCAGGAGGCCACTAGCAGCTGGCCTCTGTTTGGAATCTACACAGGGCTGACAATGACCTTTTGATTTGAACAACCCAGGCCAGGGTGTCTGAGGTCAGGTCTTGGCCAAGGTCACACTGTCCAGCCAGTGCACACCCTTGGTGAGAACACAGAGTCCTATCCCTGCCCCACTCCCCAACCAAGGGAGAATCCCCTCAGACTGTCAGAGGCCAAGGCCAAGTCAAGACAGCTGGGAATCTTCCCTCAGTGCCTCTAGGCAGTAATGTGACCCTTGGCCACTGGCTAGGGGATATGGGTCAGTCTGAGCGCTAAGGTGAAGGAAAGGGTCTGGGCTTGGCATCTGATGGCAGAAATTCTTGTGCATGCAAAGCAGGGGATGTGCTGTGTGGCCACAGGGACGCTCAATTTTCCCACCAGGGGAGGGGGCAGGTGTAGGAATAGGGGGTGATGAAGCAGAGGTGGCCCTGGGAGATACCCAGTTGTTCTCCATTTCTTAAATTTTCCTGAAAGCATTTACCACTCTTTAAAGTTATGTATTAATCTGTTTGCCTATATGATTTATTGGCTATGGCCCCTACAAACCATGAGCTCAGTGATGAAGAAACTGGGTCTGCCTTGGCCACCCTGGTAGCCCAGCACTCCACAACGGTACCTGCCACCAGGAGATGGTCATTAATTATTTCTTAGAAGCACAAATACAGAGGAGCTGCACAGAACCCATGAGCACTTTGAGGGTGTCCTGACAATTTGGGAGGCCCCCAAGGTAGAAGGGATCAGTTCCAAAATAGGAAGAGTATCTGGCTGCACCAAAGCCCCCGTGGACTCACTTCCCAGGTCCACACTGATGTTGCTGTCATAAACTGCAGGATACCCGAGATTCCAGTAAGAACTTAAGACAGTAAGTTCTTGTGGGTGTGGCCCTGACACACCTTCTGCAGAAGTCTTGGAGGGGTGCACAGTCTCCCAGGGTGTGAGGGGAAAAGACAAGGCACACAGTAGGCACTTTGGAAGTCTTATGTTATGATTATTGCAGTCAGTGATGTTGTTGGACCGTTTGTGTCCCTAGGTCTCTCTCTGCAGCCCCCAGGTCCACCCCCAAAAACACTTGCTCACACCCAGCTGTGTCCCCCGGCTCCAGCAGCTAGGTGGCTAGGTGGGTGGCCTGGGGTGTGAGCAGCCAGTCTGGGGCTGAAGTCCCCCGGTGTAGGGCCCTGTAGAAATGGGAGGACCACATGTGGACCATGCAAGTGACCACATGCAATCCACAATGTAGTACATGTTCCCCATGAGTAAACCAGTTAGCTCAGCCATAGCCTTATAGCTGAAGACCCCCAAACGCACAGGACAACTCGAACTCACACCCACGGTCACAACTTGGCCCCGTTGCCTCAGCTACAGTCAGACTCCAGCTCCCAGGTCGCGGCCACCACCCACCAGCTGCCACCTCGGTGGCCAGGCCCAGCCCCTGCACACATCGCGCACAACTCTGCCTCGTGCCCC